ACCCAGCGGCCCAAGCCCCCAGGGAGGAACTCAGCCCCCCAGAGGGCAGGCACTGGGTCTGCCTCACAGCTGTCCGGGCAGGGGGCAGGGGGCAGGGGGCAGCCCCGGACCTCAGAGCCTCCTAGGATCCAGGCTCTGCCTCTGCTGCGGGCTGCTGCCCGGTACCTCAGTGTCCCCACCCCTAAAGTGGGAAGCCTCATTCTACCTTTTGCAGGGAGGACCTAGGAGGTCCTGAATGAATTAAAAAAAAAAAAAATAGAGCCTGGGCATGCAATCCACATCATCACATTATTTCATTGTTTATTTTTAGAGGGAGTAAAAGGGAGGAAGCGAGAGGGGGAGAGAGAGAAACATCAATGACGAATCATGGATCAGCTGCCTCCTGCACGCCCCCCACTGGGGATCCAGCCCCCAATCCGGGTATGTGCCCTGACCAGGAATCAAACCATGAACCCCTAGTTCAGAGGTTGATGCTCAACCACTGAGTCACGGCAATCACTTTGAGCTTTTAAAAAATATATATATTTGCTATTGATTTCAGAGAGGAAGGGAGAGGGAGAGATAGAAACATCAATGATGACAGAGAATCATTGATCAGCTGCCTCCTGCAGGGCCCCTACTAGGGATCGAGCCTGCAACCCCGGTATGTGCCCTTGGCCGGAATCGAACCCGGAACTCTTTAGTCCACAGGCCAGCGATCTATCCACTGAGCTACCCAGCCAGGACCCGCTGGAGCATTTTACAGCAAACATCAGGCAGCGTGTCCTTTCAGCCTCCAATTTTGCCACAGACTGTCGTTGATTTTAAAATACTTCATCCGACCCCACCCCCACCCCCACCCAAGAAACCAGATAAGGCGAGGATGGCGCAAAGTTCTCGCTGGCGAAGTCTGGTTACGGGCCCGAGGGTGTTCATTGCGGCCCTTTTGACTTTTCTGTATGTTGGCAGCTTTGCACAGTCAAACCTCCAAAAGGTCAAAGAGCAAAGGAACTGCTCCCTCTCACCGCCCCCCCTCCCCCAGGGGCAACACCACGCTGGTTTCCGGGGATCCTTCCAGAGCGTGGGCGAGGCTGTTGCTGTCTTTATTAATAGCAGCTGTAGTAGCGTGAAAACCGATGCCTGCGGGCGACAGCGCCGTGAGTCAGCCTGGCCCCCGGCCCGCTGACACCTCTGCCCCTCTGGCCTGCGTAAGGCCATCTGTGTCTCGGAACCTCAGTTTCCTGCTCTGCAAACTGGGGATAAATCTCCACTTTTATCGGGTGGCTGGGGGGATCCCTGTAGAGCAACGTCCCCCTCCGCACCCCCAAGCCAGGCTCAGAGCAGGTGCTGAGGGTGCGGGAGAAGGCTTTTCCCCACCCATCTCTGGGCTGCGGGCTCCTGGGTCTGAGGGAGGAGGGGCTGGAGGCCTGGACCCCTGCGTCTGAGGGAGGAGGGGCTGGAGGCCTGGACCCCTGGGTCTGAGGGAGGAGGGGCTGGAGGCCTGGACCCCTGCGTCTGAGGGAGGAGGGGCTGGAGGCCTGGACCCCTGCGTCTGAGGGAGGAGGGGCTGGAGGCCTGGACCCCTGCGTCTGAGGGAGGAGGGGCTGGAGGCCTGGACCCCTGCGTCTGAGGGAGGAGGGGCTGGAGGCCTGGACCCCTGGGTCTGAGGGAGGAGGGGCTGGAGGCCTGGACTCCTGGGTCTGAGGGAGGAGG